GTATCGATCTTGTTGCGTAGTGAGATGGACTCGTTATAGAGAGTAATGAATTCATCTTGTCGATCGTGGATCAATTGTAACACTTCTGCCTAAGGAAAGTGAAGTTTAACTGAGATAATCGAATTTAAAAAGTGAAAATGACCACGTTTCTTAATTAAAACTGAACCTTCACGTTGCGAATTTTGTCGTCTATTCGTTGGACAGACGCGAATACAACCTCCTTTTCAGCCAAGGAAGATGCCAGCAAAGTATTCCGTTGATTTTTGACAAGATCAGATAGTTCACCATCCCCTCTGTCATTTTCTATCACAGCATTAATGAAAACGGATGGGACGTTTGTTGGCAGAGGTGGCATCTCGAACGAGAACGTTGAGAAGATTTAATTAGACGCAAACTGTGCCTGATATCTTTGTTTGGTGTAACAGTAAAATTTGGAATATGTAAACGATCTGATCAGAATCATAAAATTTTTATTAAATGAACAAAATTCAGAGCGCATTTACAATTTTTCGACAACCGAGAAAGGTAAAGTTTAAGCTGAATATGCAAAAGCTTCAGTAAAGTATATATATATAAAAGGTTATCCGGTTAACTTGGAAGGTGTCCTCTAAAAGTAGACTACTTTCGTGACCGGGGTTACCGGGTTTCTCGTAGGGTCTGCTGTAATAGGTCTAGGAAGTTCGCCTGTAATACTCTTTGAGGGAGAAAGGCCTAAGAAGGTATGTATTGCATTTATCTTTTTTTTTTGTCTGCAATTATTTCTAATGAAATTTACGTTTTATTGTTAGCTCAGTATTTATGACGATCCGAAGCCGGATATTGTGCTTGAGGAGTCACCCACCAATTTGGAAAAAGGGATTAGAAGAACAAGGGTTCAAATTACGCAAGCAGCTAGTGATTTAGAGGTGGGATTTCTTTCGACACGTAAATTTGAGGTCATTTGATTAACCATGATAATTTGGTAGCATCGTACACGCGATGTGATAAACAAATGGATCGAAGTTGAACAGAACACCGAAAGTTTGTATTCAAAATGAAAATAATATGTTGAATTATCGCATTCTCATGTTTTAACGGCATTGTACCAATTTACCAATTAAAGGAACTATAAAAGGAGTGATAGCGCCCAACGAAAGAATGAAACCTGAA